GGTTGAAACTGCACCGGTAGGGCGTACGTGTGGGTGGTCTGACACACAGCTTTCCGTCACTGCCGGCGGAACAAATTGCCCGGGGAATCCGCGCTCCTGAGTGTTTCCGTGGAAAGGGGGGTTGTCTTTTGTCTTCACGGCAGGTCCGCCGTTACTCTGTGCGGGTGCTGCGTGTGCCACATACGTAAAAATACTGCCATTGGTTCGGTAGGGTGATCTGGGTGGGGACCTGGTTTGGTTGAAAGGTACAGCAAAAAAAAAAAAAAAAGGAGATTGATCCTGTGTTTGTGGTTTATGCGTCAACAATGCATGTCTCACAGCGTGGCAGTGTAGGTTTATTTGGGGCAGTGAGTGGGTGTGATGCAGAAAGGAAGATGGGGGTAAAATTGAAGCAAGATATGCTTGTATGTACTGGAAATGAGCATATCTAATTCGGTGTGTGATCAGCTTATCTGCCTGAACAGTAAAGTGTCACTCTGCATATGTTGGTCATCTCTGCTGGCCATCAGCCTTATAAGCTTTTGAACTTCAACCTTTCTCCTGTTACTGTCTTTTGTAGACTGAGTGCTTAGTGTTAGGGAGACCATATGGATGTAAGACCTTGCCCTGAGATATGGACAGCCTAAGTCTTTTGTACTAAACAGCTAAAAACCCTGCCAACTGAGTGCTGTTTTCAGAGTTGGGTATGACAGAAATGCTCTAAAAATTTAATAAAATCCCTGATCCAACCATGAGAGCCAGCTTAGAGGTTGAACACAGACTGAAGGCCAAATTCAGAACTGTCCCCCGTGGGAAACTGAAGTGACTTCTCCCTCATGGGAACTTCTTAAAGGCATAGAAGTTGTTGCTAGCAATAGGGTTTCTCTGATGATCAAATAAATGGCTATCAATGTAAGTAACCAATTATGTCAAATAGATACACATTCATCAACAGTGGTTTTGCCTAGTAGAAAATGTGAATGTTCTCAGATTTTGCCTGGCTGACTGCTTGGGTCAAAAAAACAGGTTTGGAGCAGACAAACGTGATTGAAATGCGATGATGGAAATCTGTGTGAAACTGGTATGCCTGGTTTAACAGTGCTTGTAACCTCCCACTTTTGCAAATACAACTGTTTCCATTCTTTCCTGATATAAGAGTTAGTAGTGAGTTCTGCCGGATATACCTAGAGCAAATATATTGCCAGCATTCTTGTTCTGAAGAAATGAACATGTGGTAAGAAACCTTACTGTATGACAAAATTTATTTTGTCTTGCAACCCAATAATTTTGCACATTGGTCTGGAAAATAAATTTTCGTATCTAATCTCTCATCAAGCCACATGATTTTGTCAATTCTATATAAAATATCTCACTTCTGAGAAAAATAATAGATGCTTATGACTGAGATGCACAAAGTATATTGGGAACATGATGCAATACTTGGTTGTAGTTGCCTCGACGTCCAGGCATGTATAATCACTCTTTTATGAAAGTGAACGGAAAATACTGGACTCTGTAGTTATTTAGGCATTTAAATTATGCAATAATGTATTGCAGTGTAAAATTATGGAAACAGTTTTTTTTGTCACATTTGCAGCAGCCTTTAGAAAGGATTTAATCCTTGCCAAGAACTCTGTCAGGAATCTGAAAAAAAAACCAAACCAAACAACTGTTGCTTCTGCTTTAGCAATGAGATTATACATTTTACATATTCTGAGATAATCTTGTTAATTTGACTGTATTTGGGAATATTTGTGGTATGAATAAAAAATAGAAAAGTCTAAAGATGGCAAATGTCTAATTAAAATAGGTAAAAACATTTCTAGGAGTCATCAAGTATATTATGCATATACATATACATTAAATAATGTTTAAAAATACTCAAATGTTAAATAGTATATTACTGTAGCTCAAAAACTTATGTCAAGAATTTTATTCACTGCAATTGTCTCATTTAAACCAGTGGGAACTACTTGGTAACCATCTTCATGCAGATGCCTAGTCAGCAGCTTCAGCCCAAATCTCTATGTAAATTAATATTGACTAAGGTAATGTTGATACCGCTGGTCATTGTCAAGGGCCCAAATTTAAGTCTCACATTTTTATTTAGATTAGAATTGAGGCTTTATTAGCATATTTTGATTTTTCAGTAGAGGCAAATTGTCCATTGTGAACAAGAAGGGGAAGGGGGTTTTTTGTGCTTTTAAATGTTGAGAATAAACATTTCAACGCTGTTGGGCTTTTTTTTTTTTTTGGCTAGGTTTGAGGTCATCTTCTGTGGCAGTGTGTAGGGGAGACCTGAAGATCGTCTTATGCCTCAGCTTGCCACAAACTGCAAACAGCAAAATGAGTGTCAGGTAAAAACAAAACAGTCCTGCTTAGCTTTTTCCACTCTTGCTGACCTATGAAGGTCAAAAGTCCGAAGAGGGCAGAAGGATGCATGAAGTTTTGTTTGTATCACTTCTGTTTGTGAAAAACTTACTTTCCACTCCAGTTATTCTTTGCTGAAGCAGGAGATGTGAGTGAGTACGTGCTTAGTGCAGCAGAAGACATATCCTATGAATAAGGGAGAGAACGTCTCTCTTTTGGGACTTTAGGCGGCAGGAACGGTAGCTGTCTTGGCAGAGTCAGTACGTAAAGGTGGGTTGGTTCACTGTATGCACACAAGTAAGTTTTTTAAGCAGTGGCTGGGGAGATGGGGCAAATGTACTGTGCGAGTAAGCGGATGAGGTGGAACAGTATGAAGTTTGCTGAGTAGGGAGAGGTCAGGCTGTTGGGATGAAGGAGCAAACGGCAGCAGGTTGATTGTAGCATGGAATAAGCAGGCCGTGAGGGAGCGGTAGGGGGGCAGCCGAACAGAGCCGGAATAGCAGTGGGAAGTCTTTTTGTGGAGCAGCGCGTGGAATAGCTGGTTCATTGTGTGAGGCTGTGAAAGGTGGGAAAGACATTCAGCTTGGGGGTGGCAGCTGTAGAGGAGGTATGCTCTTGTATAAATCAAGAATGGGGTGGGGGTGGTAACAAGGGACTGAAAATAGGCAGCGAAGGGGATGGGAATGGCAATAAACAGGGAGAGGATGGCAGCGTGTGGCCTGCTATTTAAAGCAGTGAGTGACAGAGAAGGTGACAGGGAGGCACATAGCAGGTAGCGAATGGTTTGGGGGTGGCAGTGACAAACCCAAGGTCCACGTAGTTTAGTTCATCTCTTACAATGAAGTTGAAGTTTGCCAGGCAAAGGCAAGATAGAGAAAGCAAGGTGATGTTTGTGCTAAGGCAAAGCCCTGTTTGTCCCACGCTGGCCTGCTACCCACCCCACACACCCCCCAAAGTTGCCTGCCGCTTGTTGCTGGAGGGCAGCTACACTGCGCACCCGTGGCCGTGGCCCTGACCCACAGGGCTCTGGTGACCCGGTTCCCACGCCGGCTGGCCAGAGGAGAAGGGAGCTGGGATCAGCCTGCAGGTGGCCGGGGCGGAGTTCAGCCAGCTCCTAGCAGGGGTTGTCATTGCCCGGGGTGGGTTGCAGCTCAACGCCCCCCGCGGGGCGGCTGCCCGAGAAAACCGGGAGCTGCCGAAGCACTGAGGAAGGGGGCCGCGGTTTGCAGCGGGACCGGGCCTGGCGACTGAGGGGTGGAAGGGGACACACCCCGGAGCCACCAAAAGCGGAGCCAGATGCGGATGATGCTTGTTGCTGCCGCGTTCCCAAACCCCAGCCATGCGCGGCCGCCGCTAGGCTCCGGTAAGGGGCTCCTCTCCCCAGGGCGTGCCCACTCTCCCCGCGGGTGCAGGTGTAGGTCGGGGCTGGCCCGGCGCCTGGCTGACACTGCACGGGGCAGGGAGGTGCCGGTGGGACAAGGCACGCCGCGGGTTTGGCCAGCGGAGCG